TTACCTTTGATCGAAGCGAATCGACAGCCCGAGTCTGTACCATCATGGCAGGCATCCTTTGACGCTCGTGTTGTGTGCTGTCATCAGTGAAAGAAAGTGCTCACGTGCGGCGTGTGTGTTTGAGCAGCTTGCACACACCAAAGAATCTCCTAAAAACCAAGATCGCTTCATCTTCACCACGCTGCTAGCCGTCTCGTGTGTCTCTAGGGCCTCGAGGGCAACGCATGCGTGGTAGTTATCACCACATGTATGTGTTGCCTGTACCACCATCAGTCAGTGCATACGGAAGCGACGGTGGTGGTGGACAGGGCAGGCGCTGCTGTGTACGAGACGCGCACCACCTGTCTTCAACTTGAAACAATTGATCCGATGGCTTCTTTGCTCACCCGCCAAACGACGTTCGTTCCTAATGTCCATTCACCCGACGGCCCGACAGACCGTTTTCTAAGGCGGGGGCCCCGCAAGCCCAACCAATTAATTATTATTTTATTAGCTAATTAATATTAAATTTTACACACCATTTCCCCCCCCTGCTACTTCATTTTTTAGTTGCACGTCAGCCAATCACACGTACGTGTTCAGATTACGGACTCGGTCAGGTTAGCTACGATATACCTTACTGGCAAATATTACTTCATCTGCTCTCGAAAGTATGCCCAGAAAGGACTGTACTTGCAATCGTGAGTAGTCTATGTGATTGGTTACACTGACGCACGAGCACAGCTTCAACAACTAAACTACTGTACTGTACGTGCAAACTCGGCTGCCAAAAGTATGAGTTACTTGCGACGGTACCTAACCTACCTAATCCTTCCACGCACGCAAGTTTCGCCTGCTTGCGGTGGTACACATCGATCGATCGATCCTTCAACTAACGCAAGCAAGCCTGGGGCACTTCCAGTGTGATGTGCTTTCTTCTGGGAATTGTTTTTTTTTCTTCTTATCATTGAAAAGATTCAGAGACAGATTAGCAATGAATTCATAGCGTCAATGTTGTTGCATGTTCTAGAGAATGCAGCAAGCAGCTAATTCACCAACCATTGATGATCTGATCTTCAAGTGTTTATTTGCCTCCTCCGTGTTCTAACGACGACGCGGAATTACTTCTCCTAAATATGTAGTATAACATGGCAGTCATGCTAACTACCCAACTGTTAAGGAGGACCCGATTCGCAGGGCATCCGTCGATTGACTTTTACCAGAATCGGTACACCTCCGCATGTATATGGCGTCAGCAGGATACTGGTTCGAATCTCTTTGGGTGCACGTTTTTTCTCCTGACTTGGACATTTTCCCATGGACACAACGTGTGTCAGTCCTGAGAACACCTCTTGGAATCGATCCTATAAAGAACCTTGTGACACTTCCATCGAATTACCCGTCCTGGCCACAAGAGGTTCCCAGTTGAGGGTAAATTCTGTGGGTGGAGAGTGTTGAGGAGGACCCGATTCGAAGGGTATCCGTCGATTGACTTTTGCCAGAATCGGTACACCTTCGCACAATGCTGAAACTATAGTGGTATCAAACATTCCAACAATAAGATGCACCTGAACATGTTGGCTTGGTGATAACATACTCTTACAGAAGTATCATCGGCGGTGGGTGGGGGGCACCATGACGTACGATACTAAGGATTCACCTTTGCGAACCGGTCCTTCCTGTACTTGCAGCGCAGTATTGGCTTCCGCTGTATTTGCGTCCACATCTCACCTCTCTGCCTCCTCCTGTCTCTCAGGCCATGCTCTGCCCCTCCTGTCGTCATACATTCAACTCTGCAACAAGAGCTCATCATGTTGATACCCCCGCCCAAGTTACCCCGTCCTTGTGTTGCTGCTGTAGTATACTCTTGCTGTGTTCAATTGTATGTATGCGTACAAGTACAAGATAGGATAGATAGGTGGAGCATATGATGTACATAGAGGCAATCTTAACGAAAATATTTCTGGAACGACCTCCCTCTTTCGCTAATCTAATACCACCGTCGAAGTCTGCCTTTTCTACCATTTCCATCGCCTGGTGAGATACCAATTGAGGGAGAGGGAGGGGAGAGTGCTGCAGGCTGCGCGGCTGCACGGATGCTGCTTCGAAGATCTACGAAACAAATACAATCTACGAAAAACTCGAAGAGTTCCGCCGCGTTTCGACAGTCCATCCCTCACAGCTCACAGCTCACAGCACCAACCCATTCAACGCTGTCGACGGCTGTTGTCTTTTTTTGTCAGGCAGCAGCGCGCACGTCGCGGGGGGTGCTTGTGCGTTGATTGAGACCCGAAGAATCAGAAGATTCTGACGCTGCCCAAAGGGTATACCGCGGAAAGCAAGTGAAGGCAACAGCATGCAGCGGAAGCCAGGAGGATACACACCAGCAGGAGAGGTGCGGTCAGTTTCAGTACAGCTCTTCACCACAATGGAGCGTACATCGTTCCAACGGCGCGTTGACCGTTACACAACCAAAAGAGGGTCAGTCGAGGCAAAGTTACCGTACCTCTATGCTTCTGTTTTTTGTCGGTTACCGCTCTAGGGGCGAGGTGGACGGCACCGTTGCGATAACTCGAGCCAAGGTTGATAGACGGCCATGTCTGCAAGTGCTTACAGGCAGCGCCGGGATACCGGGTGGAGAGCGGTGACCGCGCTGCCCTGACGGCGGCGCGCAACGCTGAATGTCTTGGATGCGCCTTTCATCTTTCGTCTCCCGGCCCTCACAGGAGGAGCATCCTATGCTTGCGGGCTCCCAACGAGCACGCGCGAGGACACGATTGCGGTACACAGGCCACAGGCGACCCCCTCCGCCCAAGACCACCCTTGCGGCTGTGACGATGCTCGTTGTTGGGATGGTGAGCGAGTCTGGCCTCACCTGGACGAGAGAGAACCCACTCTACTCTGGTCGCGTGTGCGTCTTTTCTACTATCTAGGTCCACATACTTGGAGCACAAGGGCATAGAGGCGTTGTGCAAGCACCACAGATAGCGGGGTGTACTGCTGTAAGTTACTGCTGTCCATTCTGCAGTAGCATCACCCCCCTGACGCATCCAGCGCGTTCTTCCTTGTGCAGGTCATGACGGCTTTGGGCGCATCGCACGTGTGGAAAGGGGATAATTCGCGTGGAGGGCACCATCTGCTGATCGGGGGGATATGTGAGTCAGGTTGTGCCAACCTTCATGTGTTTCGCCAAGCATCATGGTACAGCAGCGTCCTTTGTCCGTGTGATTTCGGACGTGCCATATGCCTGACCGTGGTGCAGTCCGCGATGTGTACGAAATTGATCGCAGCGTTTGTCGAGACAGCACACTACTGCTAGAGGTTGCCAGCATTGAGATGCGCCGTAAAAGATACAACATTTTCTTTCTAGGCATGCTGTGCACCTGCTTACTCTAGGGCTGATACGAATGAGGCACGCACGGCGATGAGTCTTGTTTACCGTATGTATGTATGTATGTGCGTCAATAACCTTGGGAAGATTCCCTTACGGAATACGGGGGATGCTGACAGTTTGATTGTGTGAGTGACGAGCGGCGGATAGTGTTGCCGATCTACAATCAAAATATTGTTGCATACAGAGAAGTGTGGGCGTGACCGCAGGGATTGTTGTTGTTCGTCTTCCGTGCATGGCACACAACTCGAGACCCCGGCGCTATTTAGCATGTTGGTGCCTAAATGTTGCCACGCAACGTGGTATTCTGCAGAGGATGCGGTGTTTTTTGCCACCCGGGGGACAAAGGGTAAGTCACGGAAGCCCTGTATTCGCGGGTACGCGATGACATGTTGCAGGTACATATAGTGATACGGTAGCAAGGAGGGGGGCAAGCTCTAACGTTTTACGTGCCCCCTGCCTTACCCCGGGGATGGACCCCAACATACAATCACTCTGACGTTGATCATGCATGGTCGCCGCAAGGAGCATACTCTGCAGATACGGTGGCTGTCAACATTGACGACTGACTGCTGTTGTGATGCCCTACGCCTAAGCAGCAGCGATTGTAGTAGCAGGGCTGTTCGCTTTTCTGAACCACTTCAGGAGAGCCCGCGGGGGCGCCCGCCAGCGGGCTGGGTCACTGCTCTGTCCTGCGTGTGCATGGTAATGTCATGGGAAACATGCGTATCATCGCGGTGATCACCACGGGGGCGGTGGTCATGCGCCACAAAGCCTCAGTTTCTGTATCTAGCACCTACAGTAGTGTGTAGCCGGGGAGACAGATCGTGCAGCCGGTTTCGGGTTGAAAAATTCCAACGCCGGGAGGCAACCTGCTGCCGTGTCACCATCTCGTGGGTTTCGTCTACCTGGTAAGGTACCGTCGATTTGTGTGCTCATCTTGGTGTCGAGCCTGAGGTATGCGGTTTGTAGGGGCAAGGAAGAAGTAGTTGGGGAACGCCCTGTTGCGACAGCGAAAACACGTTGCTCAACACTGGCATGTGCAACGCTATTTAGACATACCCAACTCCGCCAGTTTCAGCACCACAAAAAACAGAGGAACACATGCTTGGCCTATTGGGCTCAACTCCGGACAGCGTGATGCCGAAAGAGTGACGGAGACTGTCATGAGAGTACCACCATGTCAAATCAGCACCATATTGCAATAATGGCGGACGTTTGAGCGCACATGTGCGACGAAAATGTTGAGGGAACAATATCTGGACTCGAGGCCGAGAGTACCCTTGGTAGATACTGTACCACGATACCACGGTGAGCACGCCCATGTGATTCTCCCCCTCTCACCCCCCCCCCCCCCGCGCGCGCGCCCCTGCTGCCCCTTGTCGTTGTTAAACTTTCTGCATTATTACGCCGCCGGCCAAGTGCTCCTACCTGGTAGCTACGCATCATTCAATCTGCTTGGGGCCTACCTTGGTTGGCCAGGATTCGACTACAGCTCGATCCCGTCTTACGATGAATGACACAGCACGCCTTGTTCGGGGGAATACAGCGCGTACGGCGCCAAACACGTGGCGGATGCATGAGGCACCGCTTCCGCTGCATCTAGGGCCGGATGGTTTTGCACAACATGTCGATATCAACTTGTACTGGACTTACGCACACGGTTGTTGTCTTGACACAAAAAAACTACTTTACACTTCTTCGAAGCGTTACATGGTACAGATAATATCCCCAACGGGTGACAAACAATAGTCGTTGATGTGGTGCACCACACGCACGCACACACGCACACACGAGCTCTCTCCCACGGGGGACGAGCTACCATCGCCGGATCACGCCATGCTCAGTTTTTCTCTGCCCAAGCTCCTGGTGAGGGCAGAACCAGCCCAAACCTGGCAACAATTACAGAAAAACGGGTTTTTGAGTGAGTAATGTGACGGGCATGGCTGGAAAATCTCGGTAGCACCAAGACGTTTCCTTCGAGTGGAATGCCCTGAACCCGGTGGGTTAAGCCACAAGACATGCAAAAGGGGCTTGAATTCAGCACGCAATATGTAGCGGCAAGTACGATCTCGACGCAATTGCAGGTTGGCGATCAAAATCGGCAGTTGTCAAGCAAGCAGGGGCAGGGGGGAGGAGAGAGAGAGAGAGAGAGAGAGAGGCAGCACCGTTTAGCTGGGCATGATCTACCCCCACTCACCGGTGCCTCTCCCTGGCGGTCGGGGAAAAGAACCTTGCGTGCAGTATCCAGTGCCACCATGCTGGAGGCCACGAAAACGATGAACGCCAGGTCGTTCAAGGACAAAGCTTCGGTCTGGAAGATTTGCTGGAGCCATGGCACGTACACCACGAGCATCTGCGTTCCACAATACAGCAGCGATATTTTAGTCAATACAAAGAACACGCCCGAAAGAAACAAATGTACCATCCAAAACTCTGCCTTGGACGACAACGAGCGCGCGCACACATGGTCGGCGCAAAATGGGGTGCCCTCCGACGCAGTAAGCGTGCAATGCAGCAAGCACGGTCACCCTTGCGTATCGAGCATGGATTAAGGTTGCGCGGCTCTCTCTCCCCTAAGCGAGCGCCTGTCGTCTGCAGTCGAAAAGTCTCAACAACAAAGTCCGGGGTGTGTCCCCCCCGATCTAACGCACGCACCTGGCCGACAAGGGACCCTCCGGCAGAGTAGATGAACGCCTTGTTGGCAAACATGTCCATCTGGGGCACGATCTTGTCCGCCGACCGGCAGCACAAGGCGTTGAACATGTCGAACATGACGAAGGTCGTGAACGTCATGGTCCTATCTCGCCGCGTCGGCTCCATGCTTCTTGACAATACCCCGTTCTGTTCGCGTCAACGGTGGTATAAGCGGGGGTGTGGAAGGTCGGGGGGGGGGGGGCGGAGATACCATACGGGCAAGCTGCGTAACACGCAAAATTCAGACAGTGTACGATTCTCAACGGATACTCACAACCAAACCGCCGGCTTTGCGTACAGTTCGGTCCAACCAAAGTGTCCAAGTTCTCATCGTGCCTTGAAAAACAGTAGTCGTTCCAAGCATTTGACGTCGGCATCAAACGTGTTGAACGACCCTCTAGATGCCAGAGGTAGTTCTGAGCAGATAGTTTCGCCCACTCAAGATCTGTCGCGCGAAAAAATAAACGCCCGGGGCTCTTCCTACCTAACACGTCCACGGTATGCTCGCTCGCCAAGTAGTAAGGGATGTAAAAATACGAGCAAGCTCATCATCGAACCTGCGTCATGCCCAGGCTGAACACCCACAGAGTCCCGACCACAATGAGACACCCGCTCGTAACCACGCGCCACATGAGACGGGTCGATATCACCGGGTCCCCCGCCTTACGTGGCGGCCTCTTCACAATGGCTCCGTGAACTGGCTCCACGCCCAAGGACTGAGCCGGTGGCCCGTCCATGATAATGTTTATCCACAAGATCTGAACGTCGGCGGAGCAGTAAGACATGGGGTAGGCAGTGAGCACCAGTCGACTGGGTTGCGGATGCAAAAATAGGGGCTCGTCAGAAGGTTTTCGATCCTTTCGCGGTTCAAAAAAAAAGCTGAATCAAGAGCACCCTGTGACAATACGTTGACCACTCCGACCAGCCAAACAACGCATCAAGCCAACATCTACCACCGTGATTTCAAACAACCATGCCCTGGGCGTATGTTTCTCTCCGTTGGCCTACAGTTTGTCTTCTGCAACCGCCGCAGAAGATAGGTGGACGTCGGATAGTTCGCGGAGCAATCTTGCGTTAATCGAAGCCCATGACGCGACACAGACCGCTTTGACAGCTGCGCCAGGAAGCTCGAGTCCAAGAACGCACCTGCATTGCGTTGATGGGGCACTTGAACCCCATGCACGTCGCGATAGCCACGATCGACAGCGCCGCCAAAGCCGTAGACAGCTGGAACGTCAAGAAGTTCTTGATGTTGTAGAAGATAGCCTGCTCCGCGCGTTCGGAGGGGGGCACGGGGCAAGACCAACCGAGGGATTGATGACTACAATAGCAAGGACATGGCGGGCTAAGCCGTCACTTGCCGGGTCTGCAATCCGTCCTACCCGTTCTGATCCAAACATCAAACCAAATACGATGCTATTTGCGGGGCAGTTGGGGGGCTCTTGTTGATTTGAGCTAGTCGCCGAAGGGAGGATGCGGTCGGATTGAAGGTGAGCCTAGACCAGCGTGGATGGGGTGCTATCTACGGTTTCACACGGCGGTCTACGGGTGTCACGAGGCACGACACCCACCGACACTCGGTGTACGTCAAGCGCGTCAAACTGTATCGTGCAGGTCGTTCACCCGCCTTGGCCATTAGGATCCAAAAAAAAAAAAAAATGTTTCTCCCGCGGCCAACACTAGTAATGTCGTTTCGCCGCACGCATGCGGCTGCAATTGCGTACAGTACGAATAACAAAAAAGGTGCTCTCGCCTTCCCCTCCTCTATCGCCGCTGTGATGGTAGCGATGTCGTCATCCATCAAAATCATGTCCGCGGCCTCCTTCGCGACATCCGAGCCCGAAATACCCATCGCCACTCCGATGTCGGCCGCCTGCTTGCGGCACGGTATCACCGACGAGACAAAAACGGACAAAGCGCCGGTCGCTTCACGGTGCGCAAAAAACATGTTCGCCAACTACAGCCGTAGTACACCGTGTGCGGCTTCTGCTCAAAGCACCAAAGTTCAGCATCGACAAGCTTCACGCTCGCGAGTGCTGGGTGCCCCGCGTCAACAGCGAGCGCCTCTTCCACCTGTTTGGCGAGAGTGTTCTCCAGGGAAGAACTACAGCAACAACCCAAGCACGCGCAACGGCGGCGGTGAATACCAACAAACATCCCCACCCAAAGGACACCGACAACTTTTGCGATGGCAGCACAACAAGCAAGCGTTTCACCTTCAGGGCGGGGGCGTCGTTAACCCCGTCTCCGGTCATCACCACGACCTCTCCGATGCCCTGCGAGACAACAAACCGGTCGGTCACACTTGAGGTCTTCAAATTGACCGCTCGCGCCTGTAGTTTGCTCAAATACCCGCACCAGGAAGTGGCCCGACTCTGCTGCACGGCGAGCAGCAGCTTGTATACGGACACCTCTGCTTAAAAAAGATCCATCGTGGGGATCGAAAACGACTCTTGACTCAATGTGCCACTGCAACGTCTCGCCTTGGAGTAAGTACGATGGTCTTGAGAATGCTTTGCTTAGCCTTAAGACATGCGCACAACAGTTGTGAGTGAACGCAAGGTGTATCTATCTCGCCTGGAGGGCCTTGACGATGCTGAGCTTGTGGCGAGGGCTGGTCCGGTAAAACACACCAACCTCGTGGACAAAAACCTAGCAGGGAAGAGCGTCCACAACAACATGGAGGGGAAAAGGCGGCGGGGGGCAGGGGTGTGATCGTGTAACCGAATATCCGTTGCCGGTAGACCATAGATCTCGCATCCACACAACGCCGGGACGGGTTTTCGCCGGCCCAGGCTATGTTCCACAAGGTCAGCGGGGGTTGACGTCAAGACAATACAGCCGAGAGCACAACGCTGGGTACTATCTCAGCCATACCAATGGTGGAGGGTGGCGTCGTTGTCCGCACAGCAAACAAGATATACAGCAGGAGCTTGGCCCTCAGGTTACAGGGGGAAAACAACAAAGGCCAAAGAGGAAGCCAGAGGAAGCCAATGTTGCCCATCACGAGGTGGTGCTCCACGATTCGACCAACCCGTTCGAGAGCGGCATCTATCATGCTAGCAAAAAAGCCCAGGTACGACACGAGATAACACGCCCACACAACGTCCACACCACACACCACCACACCCCGAGTTCACACTAGTACTACGGGTCAGTATAGGGCCCAAAACATACAACGAGTCTCAGAAGATACAGGGCATTACAAGATGCCACCCTTCGCACCAAAACATACCAATTGGAAACTACCATGTAGTAAAAAGGAAAACAGGTATCGCCGGGGTGTGAGTTTTCTTGTGTCGCATACGGTACAAAGCGGCCTGGGAATCAATCCCTATCCGTGGGCAGACCAAATTCGAAAGGCAAAAAAAACTTGCGCCGCGTTGCAGCGAGAGCCCCACCTCAAGCTCTGACGTGCTCATGCTCTCGATCTCGGCACCCGACAGGGTGCGGTGGTGCGAAGGGTCGAAGAATCCCACCGCCGACGCCACCGCGACCGCGGTATCCTCCGCATCGCCCGTTATCATGCACATTCTTGTCGAGCACGCCTGTGTGCAACAACAACAGCACACCATCATACATCAGCGAGCGCGTGGGGCGGAACAAACAGAAAGTGCCTCTCCAACTCTCACGAACCGTTCCGCGGAGGTGGCCGTACAGGACGCTTGACGGCACGTACACTTCCACTACGCCAAAACTCGCAACACAACAGCTTAACTACGTCGAAAACTTGCAAACCGCCTGGCGGCATCGAAAGGCTCAATGGGCCCGGCAGTCAAAGACTAAACAATTGTTTTTTAAGACAACATCCCAATTTGCAAAACGCTTTTCAGCACCAAGAGGCTGAACTCGGCCGTCTAAAAGCCCACGATTCTCGTCGCACCATCTTCAGACGAACGCACCTGCATCCTTTCCGCGAACTTGATCGCGCTCGCCCGGGGCGGGTCCATGATCCCGACCAATCCACAAAAGAAAAGGGAGTCCGCGCGTGTCCCGCACGCAACAGCCATCACTCTTTTGGACGGGGGACGGGGGACGGGGGACGGGGGACGGGGGACGGGGGACGGGGGAGGGCAGCCAGGCGTCGGGTACAACAGGAGGGGACGAGATGAGTCAATCCACAGACGAACGACTCCAGACACCGCAATAGGTGGATTGTTCTCCTCCTCCAACTTGCGGATCGCGCGGTTTTCTACTGTTAGGCGTGCGGAAACGGCTCGGCGGCGGTGTTTCTGCGACACCCACCAGAGCTGGAGGCTCGACGTTGATCCTCACTCCACTGCTGTGGCGTGATTCTGGCGAGCCAGACACTTGCCGAAGCGCACCTTTCTTCGACGAAAGCCAAGCATCCACAACGGGCCTGTTGCTCCCCTTCACTACGTGCTATCAACCCCCGACACACTGCCTCTGAAACACGCGCACACGACGAGTCCCACGCCTGACGATGCTGCTGTAGCAGCCGACTCCAGACTCCACATAAACAGTCTCCATTATAGTGGGAACCAAGGACAAGACATATGTCGGGCATATACAAAGCGAGTCCCACGCCCGACGATGCCGTTGTTCCAGCCGACTCTAGACACCACACAAATGGTCCAGTGATGCCAAAATCGTGAGAGATTTGTAGGGCATACCTCCGTCCCTTCGACCCTAACGCGTTGGCCACGTCCAGCACCCGACGCCGCTCCGTCTCCCCCATCTCCGCGGCGGCGGACCCTCGCTGCACCTGGCAGGTGGTGCAGTTGATCAAGACGGCCTCCACCGACCCCTTCACGTAGCATGTTTCCTTCCCGGCGCTGTCGAGGCAACGGACCTGCGCGTGTCGAATAACGGAAACGGTGTAGCAAAAACCACGCGTTTATGAGATGGTGTGGGGATCAAATGCAGACTAAATAGAGCGCTGAGCGTAAAATCTCCCGCCAATCAGCACGCGCTTGTGCTCCCCCAGAAGGCGGACTTGAACGGCCACACCCGACAAGCCAACACAAAGATCCAACCACAGCACTCTTTTGATGTTTCGAGCGACAGGTCCACCCTGACGCACTCCAACTTAAAACGTACCTTCCTCATCTAGTTTTGGTGCGCACGGAGGCGCGTGACTACTGAACAGCACAGGCGAACCATCCACAAAGGCAAAGGAAACCAAATAACAACCCGAGACTATTGTCATACCTCCATTTTTTTCCGGCTGGAGCTGAAGGCGACTTCGTGGATGCGCTCGTGCGTTGGTCGGGGATCTGGGACTCCAAACTGCTCGAGCGAGAAAGGGTTAAGTACAAGATCGTCGCGCCGGGGGGGTGTCACCTACCAGATAATCGTTTCCGATTTGCAGCCACTTGCACCCAGAAACACATACGCGGCATCCCCACATATGACACAAGACACGGTCCTTCCACAACCGAATTGTTTCGCAATCAGAGAAAACAAAAAGGAACAAATAACATCCAGCACCGCCAAGGCAACGATAAAAAAATAACAACAAATTCGGAGAACGACATCAACAGCGGCATCACCAAGAACATGGAGACACCACGTAACAGAACGGTCGCCTTCGCACCTTTTGCGCCGCAACCAGGAGACAGATCTCCGTCGGCTGTCCCCGCGTCGCTGCATCGTCTGCGGCCACGGGGTCAGCACTGCGCGAGAGAGAACGGAAAACACAGCATCAAAGGCCGCAACAAGCGTGTGAGCCAAAAAAAACGTCAGACCACACACATTACTGGTCACCGCCGCGGGGTGCGCTTTCGGCAAAAGAAAGGCGCCAAGGGCAAACAACGTCGTGGACACCTCACACCGCCCGCGCGCGTCGTGAACGCACGAGCCGAGAAGCCAAGACGCTGCCCGCAACATGTCTGCTGTACCTTGGTTTCCGTACACGATTATCAAAATTTGAGGCTGGAAAGCGAGCTTAGACTGGATGGACTCTCCCCGTTGCATCGTAGCTTCGGCTTCTACCCAAGGAAAAAAAAACGTTTGCCCGTGCGTCGTGAACGCACGACCAGCAAGACGCAACGAGACGCGGCCGGCAAAATTCCTCCTGTACAGCGGTTTTCGTTCAGTACAAATATTAACTTTGAGACTGTGAGGAGAGCACGGACTGGACTCTGCCCGTCCACCAAAGGAAAAAAACAACAAAAACACTCGCCTTGAGACTCTGGCTCCGCCGGCTGCCGCGTCCCCCAGGGCGGCGTTATTGCAAAGACAAGCCGCTTCCAGCAGAGACGCCACGGCGGGACAGCTTTGGGGCGTGACGCCCCTCCCGCACACGGTGAACTCGCCCGCAGGGTCATAGCCAACCCCGCCCACAGCCAACACCTCTTCCTCCGACAGCACGAACTGCGACAGGGGAAGAGAGCATGCGCACGCCCAAATCGGGACAGCAGTGTGGGTCAAGACATGCGTACGGAACCTTCTTGTGGGCAGACGGACACATGGCCACGAGATTTCTCTGGCACTGCTACTGCTGCGAACGACAGGCAAAAACAGCAAAACCCTTTGGGAGTTCCGTTCGAGTTATGGCGTATCATAGGTCAGTTCATAGCATGTCGGCGCTCAAGGACGACCCTGTGCTTTCCATGTTGCCCGGGCGCCGTTCTTGTCTACCAACAGGCACAACGCAGCCGCGGGGACGCCCGTCGTGGCAAAACTACTACTCCACCATGGCCGGAGGTCTCTAGGGACACTCCGATCGACACCTCATCATCTGCTTGCCCGTACTCTCCAAAAAGAGCGCCCAAAAAGCGGGCGAAGGCAGGCCAGCCGCGACACGTTCCCTCGACAACACGATATTGTACCGTGCGTTTGCGGTGAATAAGACAGCAACGGAACTGCCTCAGAGGGCCCCCAAACCCGTCGCTCACCACTTCCTTCACCGTCATCTTGTTGCGGGTGAGTGTTCCGGTCTTGTCGGCGCAGATCACGGTCGCGCACCCGAGCGCCTCAACAGCCGGCAGCCGTTTCACGATCGCGTTCCTGGGGGGTGCAAGGACGCGGCACGACCCGGTGCATCTTGATGAGTAAACCAAACAAGAAAAAAAAAGCACTTTGTCCTCCAAAACAGGGGGCGGGGGGGGGCGCTGGCTGCAGTAGGTTGGGCAACGGGTCTCACGATCGAGAGAGCCGGTGCCCACCTGCGACATACCAACGTTTTCCTCTTGACGCTATATCCATTCAACAGGAAACCCTGCCGCGTCAGATGAGTCACCCCTCGACAAAAGAAACCAAACGGACGCTGGATGTGCATGTCCCTCTCTTCAGGATGGCTACACAAGGGCACCCACCTCTTCGCCATTCGCATTACCCCGAGAGCGAGTGTAACCGTGACGCAGATGGGCAGGCCCTCTGGGATAGCGGCCACGGCCAGAGACACCCCGATGTTGAACATGTCCAGCAGCTTCTTTCCCTGACGGAACGAAAGGCATGGCAATTGACAGCAGAAAGTGGCAACGTTTCTCAGACGACCCGTGTCTGGCGCGCTCTGCGCTTGGGGTGGCGTAATGATGGCGTTGTGCAGGCAAACCTTGCCGGTTGCCACAGGATTAATAGTCCCCAGCCAACTCGTATTCTACTCGTGTACCATGCATGCCAACTCGCACTCTACTCCTGCACCATGCATGCGTTGTCGCGCCTGACACGAAGCCCACGGAGCAACACGCCATAAATCGCAGCTGAGGAGGTGATCCCAGAATAGCAGCTAACCTGCAGCACCCCCACGAGCGCGATGACTCCGATTATGCCAAAGCTGAGGAGGCTCAGCTGCTTCCCCAGCTCATCCATCTTCATCTGCAACGGCGTGCGCCGAGACTCGATGTCCTTCATGTCCTCGAACGTCTTGCCGAACTCCGTCTTCATCCCTGCGCGCCGGCCGCCGGAACACCGCCCAGGCTTGGTCAACGGTCTACCAAACACACACACAAAGAATCCCATCCTCCGTCCTCACTTCGCTTCTTCGCTCGGGTGAACCCTCATAACGTTGCGCCGCTCGTCCTCCAAAACGTTTACACACTCCCATAAAGCTTCCTCTACTCCGTGGCATGAAACAATCCCCAGGCGCGGGTGAACCCTCATTACGTTGCGCCGCTCGTCCTCCAAAACATTTACACACTCCCACAAAACTCCCGCAAAGCTTCATCCACCCCGTAGCATAAAAACAACTCCAAGGCGCAACCTTCGCATCCCACTCCAGACAATTTTCGGGGCACGCCAAATCGAAAAAGTCTCACCTGTAGCGACGACGATCGCCTTGGCGTGGCCACCGCAAGCGAGGGTCCCCATGAACACCATGTTCTTGCACTCCGCCAGCGGAATCGCTCTGTGCCCGTGGCTCACGGGTCCGGCGCCCTCTAGTCGACCGTCTCCACTCGCCACCGCGCCAAGGGCGGCGGTTACCTTCTCGCGTGCGTGGCCCTCTCCGGTCAAGCTTAGGGTTAGGGTTAGGTTTAGGGTTAGGGTTTTAGGATTAGGGTTAGGGTTAGGATTAGGGTTAGGGTTGGTTGCGTTGGGGTTTAGGGTTAGGATTGGGGTCTCCGGTCACGCCAACCAAACCAATCACCAGCGTCGCCGACATGAAAACGAGACGACATGCTATCTCAGATATTTCGTAGATACAACGAGGGCGAAGGGTTTACGTTGTCTATTTAGGCGACGTGGGTTCGGGGCTTTCTGGCGGTGCTGCTATCTAAGCGGGCTGGCTCTGGGTCACCTTCATGGTACAGTGTGTAGCGCTGGACGCGACGACAGCCGATATGACCCCAGGCATACACCAGAAACAAAGACGCATACGGGTTTGGGGTACGCCGCACGAACGCAATAAGCGCTGGTTTAGCGATGACGAGAAACGTATATATATAAAAATACGGCTGCTGCTGTGCTGCGATGACACTTGCACCCTTCAAACCAAAGTATGTATTCCAAATCGCCATACAACGCGCGCTCCTAGCGACCAAAACTAAACCATTAGACCAGCCAGCTCTGAGCGGTCTGTAGCAAATAGCGCACCTCGACTCGTCGACAAACAGGTCGGCAGCCTGAACCAAGCGGCAGTCTGCAGGGATGCGGTCGCCGCTCTTTACCAGCACCACGTCTCCGGGGACAAGCTCTCGCGCCATCACGTCCGAAGCCTGATCGCAGCAAGACGCGCACCATGACAACAACGCCAGCGCACCGTCAATGTTTTGTCAAGACGTGAAATCCTCTGTAGTCCACCAGGCATCTCTCGAGCAAATCTGTACTCATATTTCGGTTAAGCCTGCGCCGAACACGTAAGCCCGCATACCTCTAGACGCAACGCCAGAGGTCACCCAAGCCTACGCCTCGAGCAACGAAAATGTAGTACCCCACCTTGCCTCCACGAAAGCAGGTAGCGTGCGGAGGGAGGAGCGTGGTCAGCGCCTGCAGTGACTGCTCCGAGCGGTACTCTTGCACGAACGCCACCTGCGATGTATTTCAGGGCGGAGGGAGGCATCAAGAGAAACGCGTCCGTCGAGGGTGAACACAACACAAGGCAAGACTGCTTCCACAAAACCGTCTTGTACTGGGGATGCGCAAAACACAACGGTCCGAGAGGCACACCGGTGCGACATGCCCCCAACGCGTCCCTTGGCCGTGGGTAACGTGTATCGCACAATAGGGTCGACCTACCCGAGTTTCTTTCAAGCGGAAGCGGTTCATCAGAGCTGCAGAGGCTGCGCACACAGAAAACGGCGTGCTTGTTTACTCTTGCTGGTGGTGGTGGAAATAGCGGCGTGTTTGTGCAGAATGCGGCACAACCATTGGAAAAAATGGTAGGCAGAACAAGTCACATGCATTCAGCGCCCTTGTACGCATAGCACATTCTGCCGGGTAGGAGCAGCTCCAATCCGTGGTCGCACAGAAGGCTTCCCAACCCTGAGAGCCCCCCTACAACGGTGCATGCCTTCGATTTCAACGCCAGAAGAATGTAGCACTCTCTTCCGTCAAAGTGTACACATGAGCTGTTTGACAGCGCTTGCCACAGTACCAGCCAGAGGATTGGAAGAGCAAAAAATATACCCCACGCGCAAATAATACGCCGTTCATCTACGCTTCGCAGCAGGACCACCTCAACGAAGAGGAAGATGCGACCAAAAGCTGCGCGTTGGCTGCACTTACCGTTGCCACGATCGTGACGGCCATGAAAATGCTGACGGCGTCGTCGTACTGCTTGATGAGAAGGCTCAGCACCGCCGAACCCAACAGAAGCAGGATGAGCGGGTCTTTGAACTGTTCCAGGTATCTCTTGTACAGCGGGTCCTTTGTAGTGAGACAGCAGACGCAACGACAGACCCAGACAGACGAAGCACCGAGCACGGGGAGAGGTGCAGAGTATGGGATGAGCGCGGCCGAAACTTGAACGTCACACCCCGGACACCCTCCGCCGCAAGAAGTCAGCACCTCTCTGCTGCCGTAAGTCGGCGCCTCATCAGACAACCCCTTTCCCCACCGCCACGCGTACACTGCTGTAGTGTAGCCACCGCGGCTGCTGCGGTGGAGGCGATGAATATGCATATCGCCATCCTGGATACAGATATGGCGATTTTGTTCGCCGGCACCGCCGACTTATCCAGCACGTTGCAGTCAGCACGGCCCTTCAAAACGGCATCAAGTACAAGCTGGGCTGTACGCGGCAGAGTGTTTGTATGCGGTTGTATTTGCTCGAGAGAGGACTCAGGACTCTCACCTCCTCTTCCTTCTCCAACTCATTTGGAGGAACAAGCCCCTGTCGCACCGACACTTCCAGCAGGCTGAGACCGCTTTGTACGTCCACTCCGAGATGACGCCCTACCTGAGAGTATCAGCAAGCGAGAGAGAAAGAGAGAGAGAGGCGGACAACAAAAGCACGCGCACCGGAACCTCAGTAGCACTGCTGTCTCCTTGTGTCATCAGGTAACCGGTATGTTCTTGGCGTTTTCGGGCAATCGGAGAGACACACCATCGTTTTTGTTCGTTCTTTCGACAGACCACGATGACAGACGCTGCCTTCTTACAACACAAGCGAGAGCACATTTACCTCTTCAGGTGCTAGCCGAGCGGCCGAGTCGGTGTCCATGCTGAGGCTTGCTGCGAGCGAGATCAAAGGTAACCGTCACCTCACCGCTAGGCTCGTTTGCCTCTCACGCCAGACACTGACGGCTAGTGGTCCCTCGAAAGTTCGAAATGCGGGGGGGGGCCTCCAGACAGGGAATACTGGTAGGTAGGCATTAAGGTTTTCGGAAGATTTGGGTTTTTAAGGTTTTCGGAAGCATTATGCTGAACTGCCAACCATTTAGTATCATTTGGCAACATATCACAATCGGAAAAACATGACTGAGTGCCCACCTGTTATCAGTCTCCGCCCGCTGCTCGATTCAGAGCTAGAAGAAGAAGCTGCGATTACAACAGTTGAGCAGATCGAGTCGTCGCTCAAGAGGTTTGGGTGCGTTTGCTTGCCCGTGAGCGACCTTGATGGAATAGACGAGGTGAGTATCCAGAAGAGGAGATCTGCACACCCGCAAATAAATCTAGTACAGACATAATTAGAAATAGTGTGGTACAGCAGTAGTACAAGGGCGCTACGCGACGGAACGCGTCGCGGTCGCCGCTACGCTCGTAGGTTGAATGGCGATGGCAAGTGTGTGCGGGTGGAGTTTTGAAATGAGAGATACGAAGAGGACATGCTGCGAAGGGGGGGAAGTTGTTTGTTCTCATTTGTTCGAAGAGTTTAATGTAGGAAAATAAAATACACACGCAGAAAGACTACCCGTTCGAGATATACCCACATTCGAACGGGATGTGGTTATGTATGCGACGGCCGGAGGACAGAGAGTACCAGGTATTTGATTACTCGGAGTAAGAAGACAAAGGCTCACCTTCCACGACAAAAATAGGAAAACATACTGTAGTAACTCAATCTTATTAGGAAAACATACTGTTGTAGCTGAATAAAGTGTGCTTCTAGGGTGCGTGGTGTTCGTACGTACGTGATCTGATGTACAGCCGTCGGTGGTGAGAATCGGGGTTACGGAAGGCGAGGAAAAGCAACGCAAATTAAATACGGTAGTGTATTGCAGCACGTTGTGTGTAAGCAAAAGCAGAGAAAATTGGACAACTTTGAGAATAAGGCAACCCAAAGCAGTAGTAGTATCGCTATTTACATGTTCTGCCAGAGGGTTTTGGGAGTCAGGTGACTGCAGAAGTTCGGGTGTTGCCGTATGTGTTGGTGAGATGCGGAGCGTGTCAGCCGCTCTACAATAAACTGCTGCTAGTGCGGTAGGTGGCCAGAAGATTTTTCCGAAAAAAAACAAGAAAAAGTACTGCTGTACCTTCCTTCCATGAAACGGAGGAACAACAACCTAATTCATGTTTTTATGTTTTATCTCGGACGGGTGTAGTTTTGCAGACATCTGTGCGCACGACACCGGCCGCTAATCCCCCCGCTTTTCGCCGAGATCGAAAGGGAGACGCACTATAGCAGCAGTAGATAACAGCTTTGTCTCGTGTCATGCGGAGACTTGGTGGCTTGGTTGTCGTGTGTGGCAATAAGGGTGTGTAGCGTGTAGCCAGCGCACACGCACCACGTCAGCCGCTTGCCAAATGTATGAATGGCCTGCACTGTCAAGCAATCGGGGCGTGATTGGTGGATCCATGGTAGATGTCGGAGACGCGACTTTCCGCCCTCGCTAGCGCTGCAAGGTACGGGTATCGAAGAGGTTTGTTGTTGTTGTTGTTGTTGTTGTTGTTGTTGTTGTTGTCGTTGTTGCTGTTGCTGTTTTATTATTGTCTTCCCATAAAAAGAACCAGAGAATCGCTCGCGATGCGGTCCTCCGCGTGGTACAACCGTACAGGTCCAACGGAGGGACCTGGAATTTTCTGGACCCTGTACCGGAGGTCAGATAAAGCCCAAATCCGACTGAAGACAGTTTGGGACTGGATGTTTTCCAAACTACTGTAATGCAAAGGCTTTCAGACTTAGAAACAAGCCCCCATTACCGTGGAACGGAGGTCGAAATCATGGATCTCGCTAGCATAATGAAGATGTTTCAGATTCACAGACAGCTCACATCGGAGAGCGTTTCCTTCTCAACTTGTTGTGTTCGTATTTGTTTTCTGGATGACCTTCTGTGCAACCAGGCACAGGTTCTGGGCCACCTTGGACCGTAGACACGGCGCATCCATTCGTTCGATGGATTTCCCGAGTGCTTACGGCACTGCTGTCCATCGAAATACGCGCCTGTTTCTGTTCCTCTGATGTAGTGCACCTCACACCTGAGCATTCAGACTCATACAACCCACAAACAACCGCAGTCCATTCTCGTTTTGATTGGCAATACGACAGGATGGTGATTCGCTATTGCGACGTTGCTACAGCACGGCGGAGCGTTTCTTCTCTCTGCCCGAGGTAAGCGGTATGGGTCTCCGTCACGACACAATCAATTCGCCAACGGCGGTTTCGATGGCCGGATCGCGTGTCAGGTGTTGGAATCCCGATGTGGTACATTCTACTGTGTTTGGCAAGCGCTGGAACATGAAATACCCAGAGGTCGCCTCGTGTATTGCATGTGCTGCAGAGGGAAAACGGACAACGTGAAGCGAACAAACTGAGAACACAGATTGCACACGGCAGGTGGGGGGGGTTTCGCGGAGAGGAAACTTGTTTGATCTCGGTTCTTTCAAGATTATTGCTGGCGGGAAGACCCATGCAACTATGTGTACAACATCTTCAACCGGGACACCGGTATCAATTTCAGAATGCCAAACATCTATTTAAGAATCCCAAAGGCACTTTGTTCGATGATGTCTAGGTTCAGGGTGGGGGACTTGGTGTTGAGGAGGGTGCCGAAGAATCTCGCCCGTCGATGGAGGATGTCGTTCTTTCTCCGGAGCAGCACGCCATTCTCGTCCCCGACGGGCTCCTGTCTTGCCACGCGTCTCCCACTGAGCGCCACTGATCTCTTGAGGTGTTGGTAGAGTCCTCTCATATCGCGGTCCTTGTAGATCGCTTCGAGTTTTGTCACATATCTGTCCAGGTGGGCATACATGATGGAAGTAAGGGAGTGGCTGCAGTAGTCGAAACGGGCACATATGCCCACCTGGGCAGATATGTCACGGAACTCGAAGCGATCTACAAGGACCGCGATATGAGAGGACTCTACTAACACCTCAAGAGAACAGTGGGGCTCAATGGGAGACAAGCGGGAGGACAGCAGCCCGTTGGGGACGAGAATGGCGTGCTGCTCCGAAAAAAGAACATCCTACGGCGATGGGCGAGATTCTTCGGCAGCCTCCTCAACACGAAGTCCCCTACCCTGAACCCGGACATCGCCGAACAGTGACGCAGCGACCGGCGACACGTGCCACTCGACGGTTGGGAGCGGTGCCAGACATGGACGACGTGGAACGGGCAACGAAAGGACTGCATAATTGAAAGGCACCCGGCGAAAGGACTCCATCCCTGCCGAGTTGGGCAAAGATCGACGACGACGACGAACCCATCGTCCTGGAGCACCTCCATGCCATCCTCGTTGAGGTGTTGAACGGAGGAGAGATCCCCCAAGAGTGGAAGGACGCAACCATCAAAGTGCTATTCGAGAAAGGTGACCGGTCTAACTGCAACAACTTCAGGGGGATCACGTTGCTATCTCACGTAGGCAACGGTCCCCGTCAAGATAATCACCAACCACCTAAGCGCCTTCTGCGAATTCAACAACACCCTCCCGGAGGAACAGTGCGGGTTCCGACCTGGTCGATCCACCATCGACATGCTGTTTGTCGTACGCCGACTTCAGGAGCTGGGGCGAAGACGGAAATACCAGGTGCTTCGTCGCCTGAAGAAAGCGTATGATTCGGTGGACCTAGAGCTGCTGTGGAGGGTACTGACCATGGCCGGGATTCCCGAGGACATGATCGCCGTCATCCGTCAATTCCACGGCGGAATGCGAGCCCGGGTGCGCATGGACGACTGAGAGGTTTCGGACTGTTTCTGGGTTACACAAGGCCTACGACAAGGGTGTGTGTTGTCCCCACTCCTGTTCAACATCTTCTTCGCCGCAGCTCTCGAGGTCGTTGTCAATCGATTCAGCGAGGATGATGTTATGCTACGGAACCTGGTGCTCCTGGTGGAGGAGACGGGGGCAGGGCCGGGAACACCACTCGACCAAATGCGGAAGGCGGTATGGGGGATGCTGTATGCCGATGATGCCGGCGTTGTGTCAAAGTCCACCGACGGACTAGCGAGAATGATGACCATCATCGTGGAAGTGTTCGGGTAGTTCGGGTAGTTCGGGCTGACGGTATCGGGAAGAAGGCGGAGACTTTCCTAATGCGCGTCAAGGAGAGGCAGCCAACACCACCGCTCCCCCCGCCGCCACCGCTGACCATCGAGGCAGCAGGGCAGAGGTACGCCCAGACAGCTGACTTGCGGTACCTAGGTGGCCTTGTGAACGAAGTGGCAACCTCACCCGGGAGATCAATTACCGAGGCAGAACGACGTGGGCGTGCGTCAGGAGATATGCCCGGGAGCTCTTCCCCAGGCCGAGACCACCGTTCCGACTCAAGACTCGCCTGCTCCAGGCCGAGGCGATGGAGGCAATGCTGTACGGCGGCATGACATGGGCCGCACGTCGCGAACACTACCGGCTGTTGCGGTTGATACATCACCGGCTGCTCCTGCGAGTTGTCGGTTACCAACGCAAGGACACCTATCGGCAACTTTCCTACGCCCAGACCCCGAAGAGGGTAGGGTGGCGGAGCATGGAAGCCACTGCTCGGCAACGGCGCTTGCTGTTCGCGGGAGCATTTGCAAGGCATCCAGACGGGCGACTCCCGAAACGGTTGATGCTTGGCGAGCTGGTGGGGGAGGAGGGCCCAGGCAGGGGGGAAACGGAGCAAAACTGGCACATGTGCCTGACGGACGACCTCAAGATGTTCGAGGCAGAGCACGGAACTACGGACACCGAGCCATGTGTCTTCGGATTCCCAAACAACAACTTGGACGGAAGCAGCGAAGATGGAGCGGGGTGTACCGTAGCATTCGGGGGTACTGCAGGGAGCTAAGATGTTCATGATCATCTGGCACAAGGATGGAGAGGAGACTAGCCTACAACGAGCGCTCAAACGAAACAAGCCCGGCACCAGGACGGACACGGCAACAACCACTGCGGCGGGAGGGGTGCAGCAGACGGACGAGACGGCGAGGGAAGACAGACAACGAGAAGAGGCGGAACGAGTGGCGCGAAATGCTGTGCCGGATTGAATCCCTTGATTGACTAATCCCCCCCCCCGTCACTGCACTATTGCACGAACCCCCCACGAGCGATGACGTGCCTTTGCTGTCTCGGGTGACCTTTTTCGTGTTGTCTTGTGTTGTTTGTTTGTTTGTTTGTCGCTACGGTAGTGTATCTGGCATGTGTCTTTCTTCGATCTGACTCTTTTCCCTCTGCTTTGTTCTTTCTTTTTCTCTTTTTCCAGTCTATGGTTACCTCGCATAGCGTGAAGAGGCGAGCGGAGGGTCCTAGACAATATGTCGTTGATCTCTATTGATTTGAGTAAGTTAGCCTGTGACCACGGGAATCGACCGCGTGAAGAAGATACTGGGAAGAAAGAACGGAACGGTTATTATTGTGAAGACAACAACAACAACAACAACAACAACAACAACGGCGGTTCTTGAACGAAGCCAAGGACACAGGAGAGGCCGGTGGCATCATGAGCATGCAAGTGTTCATTGTCAGCAAATCTGAACGGCGGTCCAGGAATTGGTACCGTGTCGGAACTGCCTTCGACCTCTCTTTGACATTCCTGGAATGGGCGCACGCGCGGCCTCGCAAAAACCAGGAGTCCAAGGCAGCCTACACTGAAGAAGCCGCCTCAAGACAAGGGTACGGTGGTTCATGCTACACTCCTCTGGTGAGGGACGCTGCACCGTGTCACATCGATAGGGTCGGACTGAGCGTGACCGCCACATACAATAGGTATCAGCAGTGGTTTACGGTCCTAAATGGCAAGAATTGTTGCGGTCCGGAACGCATCGGAGAACCACCCTGTTTGTTCTGTAAATGTCGAGGCCGTCTCGCTGGCCCCTTTCCCCCGTCTTTCTTACGTCGTTGTCTTTGGTAGGTGTTTGTTTGACCCAACCCCCTCCAAGTCCTGTGGTTGACAGTCCGATCGGTGTGAGCCCCAGGAAGATTGCGAAACACGTGCCTCGACGCTGCAGCGATCCAATGGAGAAAACATTCGTTGTGCGCCTTTGAGATATGGGTAGAGTGTGAATTTTGTTATGTTTTAGCGAAATCCACTAGAACAATTAATAGGATAGCCAGTTTTGAAACCGAACCTTTTTTCCAATTGTGCCAGCGACAGTACCTTCTGTAGAGCTGTAATCAAGCAGGTGTTTTTTCACCACCGTCATTCACTTCTGGCGCTTGCCTCTGTCCCTGTTTTTCTTGCTCCCAGGGTAAGGAACCGGCGTATCAGGAAGGCGAGAAGCAGCACGTGGAAAGCTTCAGCTGCACACGGCCGCTAGCCCACGCTTCGTGCAACCATCTGCCCCGTGGACCGGAGGTGACTAGAACTTGAACGAACATACCTGCGTGACGACCGATGGGCCCCCACAAACGGTAGATGCCGTGAAACGTCGCGAAGAGCACAAAATAGCTCGCGACATTCACCGCGTGTGTAGAGTGTGCGTCACTGCTCGATTTGTTCGATGTAATCTTTTTCGGGTTTGCCCGGATGTCGCTTTTCTGACGTCACGGCTGGCTTGCAGCTGTGTGAAACCCGCAACCAGTCGTCGGAAAGCACTAAACGAACGCAATATGTCCCTACACGCTGTTCCTGCATCACCAATATAGACGGCACGAAACCAGCTAGTTGTCTTTTGGACAGTATTCTCGGTACGAGCCACGCTGGCTGGGCACCACAGATAATTTTTGGGGAAACGCTTGGTAAAGGATGGAAAATCAAAGCGGTCGTAGGATGTGTACGTTGCCCTCTACCACGTAAGGTGTGCGTCATGTCTCCATTGGAAGCAGCAGTGCATCGACCGCCATTGTGCTGACGCTTGTCCCTTTTCTGACTATCCCTTCCTCGCACAGTTACACAAGTCCCTGTTTCCTGACTCTCAAGTCCCAGGCTTCGGTGCCGCGTACTCATCTTTGTGGGCGATTCTTCGGCATAGAGTTTCTCTCCCGATGATGCGCGCGCTGGAGCACATGCTCTGTCTTCCTAGCGGTGAGGCGCAGTTGCTCGACACACGGCTGAAGAGTGCACCGCCTGGCAGAGGATGTTAGGCACAGCCTACTTCATTAGACCACTCAATCAGCGCAGACTGAGTTGTCTATGGGAGTAGCCTTTATCTAACAAAAGGTACCTTAGGCTCGTTGACCCTCCCAGCTACGGTGTTGTCCTCCGGGGCTAAACCCCTCCCCATACGCGGCTGGAAAAGTCTTACGTGGAGTCTGTAGCTTGGAATCGAACCCACGTCCACATCTTTTGGTCGATAAAGGCTAATCGGTTAGACTTCTCAGGAAGCATTGCTTGAGTGCTTGCAAAAACGTAGTCGAAACAAATACACGTCGCCATCGTTTGGTTTGCAGGTTTTTTGTTGCTCAAAAGTGCAGAGACCGACAGTCTCAACATGTCGCTTCTCAGGACCCTCCGTTATCCTGCTTGCGACGTCCAGCACACCAGTCCAGCTCGGCCGGCCGAAAACAAACCGAAGCGACGTCGCAGCGAAAGGAATCGGGTGAGTCAGGCGTGTTCATCGGTACCGTCTATGTCGGCTATCTTGGCCATATTCTTGTCTGGCGGGAGAATTCCCTTCTTCACATTGATGCATTTCGGGCATATGAGTACACCGCACAATGGCACAGCTTCCTACATCCCGAACCCGATGTGAACCCACGGCTATTGTCGAGCTTTTTTGGGCAACGCTTCCCTTGACGTTCGTCCTTGCGCGCAAAGGGCACCTCTAATCATGCGGTATCCTGTAGTAGAAATCTTTTGTAGAACGTTGTGAAGAAATATGTGGATTTGTGAAGAAAACGGTTCTGGCAAATCGTCTCCTGGCTTGGACATCACCCTGGAAAATCGAATGTTTCGTGGCCCCCCAGCTACTGTCGCTCGCGGTTACGCTTCCTCTGGACTCTCATATGTACGTCGATCTCGGTGTGGGCAGAGCTGAAATCCAGCGATGTGAACACGTCTCATTGTTCGGCGGTTGTTTTTTGAACCATTCACGAGTACATGGTAGCCGAGTTTCACAGCGAACCACATGCCTCAAGAGCGTAGAAACGGCCTTGTGTGTCATTCCTACGCGCACAGGGATGAAATCAGAAGCCGCAGCAGCCCTGGGAAAGCTGCACACGAATCCCATTTCCCGACAGCAACCAAATCAAGAGTCTCAAGCTGGACGTGAACTTCAGCAACAGTTGAAGCTACGGTTTTTGCCGCTGAGTCAACTCTAGAGAAAAGAGTCGGGCACAAATGTAGCCTGATTGCTGTTATTTCGATTTTTGGGGTTCGGTCTCACGGTCAAGCACACCTTGAGACTAGAAGGTGCGATACGGCAGGACTTATCATGGTGAAAAATGATCCATTAGCCCGCGAAAATGCTTAGCACAAGACCGACAAAATTTCGGGCCAAAGCCGTAGATCGTCGCATGGGTAGTACAAATACCCATTTGCACGACCTTCGCCATGGCTCCTGCGAAGGTTTGCAATCTTGCAATGATCGAGCGGATCCACGGTGAGTTCCCGCCACCTCTCTCATTTTTCGAACACGAGGAATTATATTCCCGTAAGTCACACAGAGCCTGCTGGTGTGGCAACGAGCTCATGTTCACCGTGGCGTGACATGTTTCTGTTGTGAACACAGTCGTGCACTCAACAAAAGGTGAGATCTTCGCATCTCAAAACATGCACTCGCTTCTGTCTCCATCTTCCCGCCAAGGTGACCACACCCGTAGACGTGGGCATCTCGGAGCACACCGATTTTGAAGTCTTCACAATCATGCACCAGGAAACGGCGGGACTTCACCTCCACACTCCGTCAAGAGGGCCTTCACCCCGGTGGTACAAATTGCCGTTCCGACACGATACCCTCACCGTCATTCTTGGGGTAAGTGCCAATTTGCAGCACCGCTTCCGGGCCGGTGTTCCAGAATCTGGCGAGGTTCGGCCGGCTGAGATTTGCGTGAACCATAACGATTTGGGCACGCACATGCGTTTGTTAACTGCTAGAGGCATTCGTCCAGTCGCGGCGCCGAGATATCTTTGTTGGGCTGGTCAGAGTTCGTGATCCATGTTGCCTGCGCGCACTGACATCCCAAAGGATATGATGGAACTCTGGACTTCGGGCTGGTTAGAGGCAACACGGCATAAGGTGGTCTCACCGGCTTGTGGGCAAGGGGCTCGAAGGTCCTTCGTCCTATTTCAGGTACGCGGACTTGGGCGGGACAGGTGTGTTGAATCGAGAGGGTGTGTGTATGCTCATCGTCGTGCATGCCGTAGTCGTGAGACCATGGACCTCGCATCCCTACAAAGCCGGGACGGAGCACGCCGGGTTCTCACCGGACCAGGCTCTCACATCACCAAGCGCGAAGCGCCGTGAGATATTCGGCGAGTCGCATGAAGGGTGCGCTGCATCCTGCTAAGGGTGTTTGACATATTTTGCTTACTTCCTTGCGTACGGATGACAGCTGCGTATGACTTAATTTATTTTCTGGTGCTTTCACTTTCAGAGACAGTGATAAGCACTGTGTAACTGCCTCGAGGGTGCTGGACGAATCTGACTCTCACCGTGATGCGATCATCCCCTTTGCGCGCGGAGTGAGGGTTCTCGACCCCGCACAACGTAATCTACTCGACCACCATTATGGTTACTGCGAAAAAATAAACAAAGAGGCAAAAAAGAAAACTGTAACCTGGTTGCCGAGTTCGCAAAGCGATGGCTTGTTTTATAACGTCGTTGCCAGCGACGAAAACCCAACCCCGATGGCAAACACCGAGGGGGGGGATCGAGAGGAGCGGGGGATTGAATAATTTTTTCGAAGCGCCCTGTGGTGCGGATCTTAAAACGGTACCAGTTCATTTGGGAAGTTTTGCGATCATCCGTCGCTTGTCATCCATCGCTTGTCGTTGTCCATGTTTTGGTCTTATGGGCCTACATCTGTGCAGGAGTGCAGCGGCACAAGATATGTGCCCACAGGCACACAAAAAAGTTATATGCAATCGGCCCATACAAATCGCGTACAAGTAAATTTTCTGCAATTTTTGACTGCTTGCCATGTGTCAGATCGGCTTGCCATGTTACCGTGATTTCGAGCATACGCTGTGGTAGGGGATTCGGTCGTGAATTTGTGCGTTGTTTGTTCCATATTGCGTCCTATTCAGTGTTTTTGGCTTGCAAATCTTCGGTGTTTCCTTTGCCTTTTATTTTGTCGATTTCTCTTGGGTCCCTCGAGTCTTGTGACTGTTGTAGGCGGTTGCGATCGTACCAAATCGCATCGTCATTTTCTGGCAACCTTAACTCTCTATTCGGGCAACAATTAGGGGGCACAACAAACCCTCCGTTTCTGTGTCTCGATTGAATCAGTCTAACTAGTCGAGTAGGACGATGCTTTCCTCGGGCATGTGCCACAGTCGCATGGTCGGTGTGGGCATGTGTTTTTTTAAGGTACGCGTCGATGAGTGAACAACGTGCGCATTCTGAAGCCCCCCCCCCCCCCCACCCCCGGCCCACTCCATCGCCAAGGCCCACGACGACCTTGTCAGGATACACCCCCTTGGGGCAACCCATTTAGCGACCCGCACGTCCGAGCCTGACCGGAGAACCGGGGACGCCCCAGACACGCCCAAGAATATGGAAAGTTGTGGAGGAAAGGAAGGCAGCGAGCAGAGTTTGCCGATAGGTTCTTTCGCAGGGTGGGTTCGGAATCGCCCCAAGAGTGCTCTGAGAAAGTATCGCCCTACTACTCAAGGCGCCTGGGTCCGCAGGCAAGAGTTTCGCGCGAAGTCAACTCTTGACAGATCTTAAGTTTGCGACAGGCGGTGCCATCTGTCTCCCTTGTGTATGCATTACGCATGGCAGTTCTTCTCTCGATGTGTGCCAACCCTGAGGTCGCGAAAGGAGAACTCCACGCAGAGCAACTTCCCCCAAGTATCATTGCGCGCCTGTAGCTTCAAGGCCTGAGAGGAAGTCGGCCATTAGAAAATGAGGCGGCGATTTAGGAGGTTTTCGTGAGACTGGATTTTGTTCGCCCACCCGCCAGACTCTGTCTTGGGCGCCGGGAATATACTGTATGTACTTCGAAGTACAACTTTTGTACTTGGTACTACTTCACTGTTTCGTGAACTTTGTGCCTTGTATGGGTTCCGAAGAAACGAAAGGAGGAGATGGTAGGCAACAACACGCCTGCATGCTCCTTTCAATCGTGTGCCCCGCTCCCAAAGACATCAGCAGGTGAAAGCTGATCACATGCGTCCAATCCAGCGTATGTCGCATTAAACCCCAAAGGCCGGAAACCGACTTCCCGAGGGGAAGCCTTGTATAATTATACCTCGATATTGTACTCCTGTCATGTGGAGACGATGAGAAGGGCAACATTCCTGTGGGACAAAGACATGGTCTACCACACACACTCGACCAGAAGACGGTATGACGAAGCGGCGAAACACTGGAAGAGGCAGGATGCCAATCAGACCCGTTTGCGCAGTTTCATGCAGACGCACTAATCGTATCCGGCCCGTGTGCGTGTGTGCCTCTTTCATTCTCCGCCAGTTTCTCCCCTGTCTTTCCAACGGCATGCGAACTGTTGTATGTAGTGAAGGTTGAACATACCCCAGGAACGAGAAAATGTAGTCTAGCTCTTTTGAACCTACGCTCCTCACGCACCCGCGCGAGCCATTAAAACAACGACGTGCCTCTGTTTGCTGCTGCTCTCGTTTGTTCCGGAACTTCGTCCGTTTCTCTCTTGGGCAACGATTGAGTTCTATCAGTGGTGGTTTCGAGGGCGCAAGCCGCTACGGCTTGCTCGACCGAGCCTATAAAACTCTCTCTTCCAAAAATATTTTCTCTCCCTCACGGCGGGGGGGGGGGGGGGGGGGGGGGGGACCCAAAACCGGGGGGGCCGAAACCTTTTGACCTTTGACCCCCCCCCCCCAAAAAAGCGGGGAGGAAACCCCCGGGTTTCCCCCGGAAAAGGTCTCCCATTCCCAAAACCGAAAACCCCGGGGGGGGGGGGGGGGTTGAAAAAACTCCCCAGAGTTTGGGGGCCCGGGGGTTTTTCCCCCGAAAATTCCCCCCCCCCCAAAACCCTCAAAAAAAAAAAAAAGGGGTTCCCCCCCCCCAAAAATTCCCCCGGGGAAAATTTTTTGCGCCCCCCGGGAACCCCAAAAACCCCGCCCCCCCCCTTTTTTTT